AAATGAGTGATGGAGGTGCCGGAGGACAGGACAGAGCCCGTGGCTCTGGGACTGGGGCAGGTTTTTGGGAGTATGTTAATCTTCATGCACGGGGGCTGCAAACTGAGCGGCTCTTTCAGGTGCGTTCTCTGGTCCCTGTACTGCTTCCTCAGTCAAGTCTCCAGGCAGAATCACCCTAACAAAGCTGTTGGTGCACAGGAGCACTGACCCAGGCCAGGTTCTGATCTACGTGCAGAAACAGGTCTGAGGTCAGCAAGAGCATGGCTCCTGCTAGACAGGTTCAACACAATGAGCCAGACAGATGCTACAGGCCACATGCACAGTCTTATGGAAAGCACATCTCCATTTGATGGCATGGACTGAGCAAAAGCAGCGCTGGCTAACCTCTGGAAGTTCTCTCCACTCCTCTGCAACTGCTCATTCCTCACCCAAGGCCTAGGAAACACCAGCAGGGCACAGATGATAGTACCTCAGAGCTCAGGAGTGCAACACCCCAATGTGCTGTGCCAACAGCAAACAGCACACTCCCTGCTTTAGCACACTCCCTCTCCTTCCCTTCTCCAAGCCTCCTCCACCTTTCCACAGCCTCTGTGCTACACAATGTTTGCCCATTCTTGCATCACACATAAACTCTCCAGGCCAGGATGGTCCTGCTCCTGCCTGTCTGGTAGTTGGAATGCTTCTAAATCCTCAGCAGCGTTCTCATGCCAGCTCTCCAGAACAATATATTTGTTCATGTTATATCTTTGGAGTCTACAGAGCTGTCATATACCATGTTCAACCCATTATTCATCTCAAACAGAGAATTCTGCAAAGCAAGAGGAAATAAAAGAAAGTTTAATACAGCTTTACTAAAATGGAATTTGCCAAAGACTCACAGAAAAATGGATTTAATTAGGGCTGCTAATGGAGAACAGTTTGTTCCTGTGATTTAAAGCAGAAGTTAGATAGTGTCTGTAATTTCAACATTTTTAAATTATATATAGGGGGTTATTTCTCATTTCTACCTTAATTATAAAAATCCATCTTTATGAATCACAATTTTGAGGCAAATAAAGCAAAGGCAGCAAAAATGATGTTTTAGTTAATAAAACTTTTAAGAACTCACCAAAGAAGCATAAGACACTTCAGCATGAATAAAACAGACTTAACATAGCAAATTGCAGTTGCACACAGTCCTCTGGATGCTACTTAAACACTAGGCTATCTATTAGAGTTGCAGGCATTAACTGGCCTAACATGCTCCAGCTAGTAATTCCAAATTCCAGAATTTTCTGCTACCCATTCTCCCATTCTTAAATTGATTGCTGTCAGAATTTCTGAATTGCCTGTAAATTGTTTCTCCATATTAAAGGGAATAAAATGATAAAATCATGAGCCTCCTCTACAGTCTAACAAATGTTGCTTTTGTGAAATTCCTCCTGTCAGCTGGCTCTGACCACATGACCTAAGTAAATGAGTCCCAACATTGTAAAGCACTGATTAATTTAATTACAAATAGCCCAGATAACTGGTGAGCAAGCTGGGCCTAGCTGCTGTCACTGCTGCAGATTCTGCACCCACCATAATGCATTTTAATATTGCACCTCAGATCTGAGCGGAATCAATGAGTGAAGTTCAAATGTGGCACATTTCCTGTTTCTCTGACAGCTTATTTCATGGATCACAGGGACCAAAGTACAGTTGCTTATTCAACAGAGGAAAGAATGAATCAATTTTCATTCTTTAACACACTGTGTGACCTATTCTCTGATGTTCTATCCTTTACAATGGCTCCAGTCTTTTCAAGACCTTCAATTTTGTCAGATAGAGAAAATTTAAAATAATGACAAAATGCCCTGCCCTAGGTCTGCTTCCAGCTGACTGACTGCTCTGCTGGTAATAAGTCCAAATGAAAGCTATTATGTCACTCAGGTTGAATTAAACAGACAAACTATAATCCTAGATTGTTAAAAATGAAACAATCTTCTGGAAGATTTCTGTGATCTCACTCCAAGTTCCCCATGAAAGGTGCTGGACACCACAGAGATTCTGATCCTCATGTGCTTCAGTTTCTTCCCCTACTTCAGAACACGAAGGAGTAACGTGACAGGACAGTGACAGGACAGCTGCTGACCTGCACAGTGCTGGGAGCTCCTGTGCCTGCCCAGCACAGTGGGCCCAGCGCAGGGCACTGGACAGAGGTGCAGGGCCCCCTCCCGACCTGCCATCCCACAGAGCCCACCACACTGAGCGAGGATACCACAGCTCTGCTGCTCTGCTCACCTGCCAAGACTCCCTCAAGTTAGCAGATAATGTTACAGTTCTTTAGGTACTGCTAGTTTGGGCAGAATTAACAAACTGATATGTGTAATTTTGCAATTTCAGTGTGAAATCTTTTTTTTTCATTTAGAAATATCCCAAGGTATTGTGGTTTTAAATACCCTCTGTGTGCCTTGTGTTTGTCTTCTTTTATTATTAATCCCAGTTCACTGGTGATACTTGCATTGCTCCTGTCATTTATAACTTGGTTTCAGCTTGCACTTTCTTACTGTAATCATTTTTCAGATGAGGAAGATCAGATTCTGCAAAGGAGAACACAGCACAAGGGCGAGTGCTGTGGGCACCCCAGGCAGGTGTGAGCACCACGCTGACACCCCAGAGCCAAGGCAGCAGGGCTCCCTGTAGCCATGCTGAGGGCAGTGTGCAGGAGCCTGGCACCAGGACAGAGAGACAGCTGAAGTACCAGACAGATGGTGAACCAGAAAGCACAGCCTGAACTAGAAACCCTGGAAAGGACACACTCAGAGACCTCCAGAGGCAAAGAGGATCTCTGCCTCTACTTTCTCAAGCTCTCCTCCTGCCTCATACTTTATGACTGACCCCATGAGATTTGCCTGGCCTTAAGACATAAAGGTAATAAATCAGGCCTTATCAGAATATTACCCAGATGAAACGCACATATCACAGCCAGCTTTATTTGCTTTCTTCTCTGCATATCCAGTAGTTCAAATATAGGGTTTTCAAAGCAGTGGATTTAACAAATATCAGTACTTCAGGGCACGTGGGCAGACAAATTGCTTTTTCCATTTCATAAGATGAATCTGAGAAGAGCACGGGTCACTAAATGGTTGCAACAAATGTTCTAGTGTTTAAGCAGGCCATGAGCTGTAGCAGGCGTTGCTGGTTTGATTCGTTTGCCCTTGGTAGATTAATTTTCCTTTTTTATTTTCCTGCCTTTTGTGAAGGAAGTCCAGGGACCCACCACAGCTCGGGACAGCCCAGCACCAGCAACCGTTCCACTTGCTGCTTTGGTCTGGAAGCAAACAGGACACAGAGCTTGTGGGAGCTGGTGTTTGAACTGTGAGCTCTGCAGTATCTGCCATCCCTTTTCTCACCCAGCCGGGAGCGTACTGCAGCTAAACAAAACACCTGAACTTCCCAATGATCAGGTTTTAGCACAGTTCTGGAGGATGGTGAGATGGGATAGAGGCTGAGCAGCCAGCAGCTGTTATACAGTCAGCTGATGAACAAATGGATTTGGATGAGGTTCACCTGATCAGCTTCAGGTGCACAAATGAGAACTGTGCACGCAGAGCTGGGCACATGCTGCCCATGGAGGTTACGCACGGCACCCCTGTCACCACCACCCTGGCACCTGGCACCTGGCCATTGGAGACAACTGCCTACTATGCCCTGATGAAGTAATGTGTACAATGGAGTTCTAACAAGATCTTTTCCCTTCAAACAGTGTACAAATTAACAGTCAGCAGCACTTGAAAAATGGCTCTGATCCCTGTCCACACAGGGAGTTTGTTCCCAGTGCAAAGTGCCAGATTATGACAATGATACATACTTCAAGTGGGTGAAAACAAATGAATAACAACACCCTGACAGTACTGCTGTTCCTGAGTGCTTAGGAGCTAGGTAAAACTGACAGTCCAAGATAAATATGGCACTGAGATGAGATGTTGCAGTGCATGGCTGGTCAGGGGAATCTAGACTCACTGGCCCTTACAGATGGGTTAATTCTAAAGGCTGCATTTGATTCTGAGCAATAGTTGCTCTCTGAGAAAACAGGGAAGGCTCAATCTGTGGGAGGACTGAACCACAGGCAGTAGTCCCATTTGTGAAGGAAGCATTGGGTGGTCCTAGAAACAAAGGATGTGAGTTTGCCTGTTGCCTCTGCATCCCCAAGTGTAGGCTGACCCCCCCTGCCCACCCCCAAAGGGTCCAGCCAAACATGGGTGGACAACTCACCTAACAACACAGTGAGGAAAGTGGGACTGTCCCCAGCCAGAGGCATCCTCAGCACACACCAAACGTGCACTAGCTCGCTTTCATAGCATAGGAATCATGAGGTGCCAGGGAAATTATTTGCTATCAGGCTGACAGAAGAAGGGCAGTGTGACCCCTGAATTGCATGTGGCTCTTTACCTGGAATGCTGTGGAGTCCAGATGTACTCCGGGGTTTCAAAAGGCTCCAGAGTCACTCCTTGAGCACAACCCCCACCTGCTAGTTCAGTGCAGTGGACAGATACAACCACTGCTCCAGAAGGACTGCAATCATGATCTCAAGTAATCCTCACCCTGTCTCCTACAGGCTTTTCACAAAGACCTGCTAAAGGCTGAGGACAAAGAGAGGCCCCGAGTCAGCCTCACCAAGGTTTCTCTAGGATTGCTTCCACGGTGGTGCTGGAACTCCTTCCATGGCTTGTCACCACCAGCCCCCACCAGTGGCACTCCCCAGGCTCAGCAGAGGATCCCTGGCCAGGGGGGTCCCTGTGTCTCAGCTCTGTCTGTCCCCCTACAGTGCTGTGGTATGTCCTCTACACTTGCAGCACCAGGTGGACTGTGTCCCTCAAGGAAGGCTTGGCCTGCTGCAGCAGGCAAAGATCACGCATTCCTCGAGACAACACAGCTGCACTTTGTTTCCACTCTATTCCCTTCAGTATAAAAGCAATCAAGGGCAGATCTTGTCTGTCCTCAGAAGATATGGAGCAGGTCACATATACCTGTACCTCTTTCCAGCAGCAGAGATTTCAGATCGCAATAACCTCACAGGGCACGAGCCTGGTGAAATCATGGTTGCAGTGATGTCAGGATGATCTCCGAGCTTCTTACCCCAGGCAATCTCCTCCCCAGGAGGAGCCAGTTCCTGTAATTACAAAGTGGAGCCATATCAGAGGAAAACTAATCAGCTTGGTGGATGCCAAAAAATTAAATATTAATCTAACTATTGTGAACACAGAAATATTCATCTTCAGATATTTTCTGGCACAAGTGTCAAAATCAGAGTGGAACTAAGGCTTTATTCATTTTCCATTATCAACTTAAATAAAAACAGTCAGAAAAATGGGCAATGATGTGCAGAAACCACTCAGCAGAGATAATTACAGAGTAAGTTTAGGCAGCTAATCACTTCTAGAATATGCTTCAGATTCAGATAACTGACTGGCTTGCTTCCCTGCCTTGTTAAATCAGACAGACTCTCAGCTTTGCCTGATGAGGATGGGACTCCCAGAGTCAGCATCTTTAACTAACAATAGGGCTGTTTGGCAGGCACGGACATATCCCCACCAGCCAGCAGCAGGATGGGAAATGCTCTCCCTACATCAGGAGAGAAAGATGCAGCAGAAGCAATGGCAGAAGGTGGGGCAGGCAGCAGGCAGGGCAGGGACAGTGGGAGGAAGGCAGGGCAGAGCAAGGCAGCTCTGGCAGCAGAGGGACAGAGAGTCATAGGCAGACTCATTGAAAAACCAAGGAGTGGCTGCAGCAGCTGCAGCAGGATGGGAGGACAGCTGTGGGAAGACACAGCCGGGAAGACACAGCCTTGCAGGACATTCCCTCCAGGACAGCAGTTCTGGCCTTCGTGGCACTCATGCTGAGGAGCTCCTGGGGCTGCCCAGGAGCAGCCCCCACACAGCACTTGCACCCACCCTGCCCAGCAGCCATAGAGCAACTAACCATACTTACACCAACTGGACTCTCCTTCAGGGGAATCACTGTGGGCAAGAGGCAATTTTCCACAGCCCTCCTCAGGCATGTCAGGCCCAACCCTCCCAGCACTGCCAGTCCACGAGCTTTACACTCCAGTTTCAACAAGGGCCTGAGTGCTGCTGGCGGCCGTGGCAGTGGCAGGAAGGAGAGCTCCAGCTGGGTATGGGGTAGG